AGAGGAAAAGACAGCTCAGGTGTTTTAAAATCATTAGTGAGTCATCAGGAAAGCTGACTGTGCCGGTACTGGGTGTAAATACCTGCTCGCGTGCCATTGGTCCAGACAAGGACTCACTCACAATCATTCTGCGGAAGGTGATTATTTTTTAAAAATACTCAAAAATGCACAAAAGGTGAGGATGCGAAACTTCACCCAAAAGTGAAAGTTTGATAAATGCATTTTACTCCATTTTTTCCCCCTTTAATATTACATTTAGTCATTTAAACAAATTTCCAATTTCAGGTTTACGGTACTTAATGCCTTTGAATAATAAAAACAACTTGACTGACATGTATTGGACAATGTTGTGGATAATGGTGAATCTGATTGGTTGATTGAATCAGAGCGTTACAGCACCGGCTTTCTTAGCTCAGCCAGGAGGAGGCTTTCCTCCGTTCCCAAAGCTTGAGTAAAACTCCGAGGGGCTTTTTGAGCCAGAAAAGCCAGACTGGAAAGATTTGCTGGCACAAACTGCCCTTTTCTCTTAATTTTCTAGGTCTAATTCTAAAAAGGCCCTTGTTTTCCCAGGTCTTCAACTCAGAGAAAGACTTTGACTGTAACATTATCAGTGCTATTTCTTGCCTTTCTTTACTCTTCTCTCCACTGTTTTGACCTGCCGTTTGGTTAGCTTTTACCCTCCGTCCTTTTGCTGTGCAGCACTTGTCAGCTTTGGAGTTGCACAGTGGTCCAGTTCCACTGTCCAGTGGACCAACAGCTCTCTAAAACGCATGGCTTCGCCTTTTGGATGTTTGGTTTTATGGTTTTATGGTGTATAGTTCTGCTTTTTTCCTGTGGGTGCAGAGGTCTGGTGCTGAGCAGCCGGTCGGAGCTTCAGCAGGTGCTGGAGAGGCGGAAAAGGCTACAGAGCGGCCATGATGGGGAGGGGGGGAAACGATCCCCTTTAGAGGACATGATGCAAAGACGTCAGCAGAAACAACTTGAGGTAATTCACCTACTTTTTACATGAGTTCAGAAATAAAAAAACACATTTTAGTCTACTTCCAACTGGAAGAAACTATTGAATGAATTCTTAAATTATTCAAAAGAAAAATAAAAGACCACTGAGGGTTTGTAAGAGACGCTCCCCTTTTAATTCTACTTTTAGACAGAATCCTGTTCCCCTGTTGGGTGATAGCACTGAGCATCACATACACAGAAATGTTTGTAGTACAGAATAAGGTTCCTCCTCATTACGATACCCATGCATGAAAAAAGCTTGAAGGAAACCTAGAATCATTTAAATTGTGTCCATGTCTGTCACACACAAACTCGATCATGCAAAGTATGTTTTTTAAAAGAAAATTGATTTAGTTCTTTTTTAAGTTATGCATTTGCCATCTTTTATTAGGAAGTGTCAATGTTATGATCCAAGGTTTTGTTTGGATTTTTTTCTGGATTTTGGTTTTGACGGGTTTTTCTTTGTTCTATTTTCTCATGCTTTCATTTCCTGTGTTTTATTCTGATAGGTTTCTCAGCTTCCTGTGTTGTTCTGTCTTCTCTTCATCTCCCTTGGCTTACCTGCCCTTCACCCACTGGTCCCACTCGCTTCTAAAAAGGCTTCCCAGTCTTTTCAATCTTTGCCAGATCCTGTTTTTATTGACCACATATCTACCTCTGGTTCTCTTTCCCCCATCTTCCTCCCAGTGCGTTTTCCATTGACTTTCCAGGTTTGTTATTTGTAGATTTTTGGTAGTTGTGTTTTTGTGTCTGGCTCTGGCTGTGCTTTTTGGCCTCCCCTGGAAAACAGATGCTAGTTTTCTGGTTTCCTGGTTCCCTGGCCGGTGCGTTTGGATGCTCTCTCTCCACCAGCGGGCGGTTTGGTGACAGCCGATGCTTCCTGTGATGTTTCAGGGGAAGAAGGAGCAGGATGAGACCGGGCGGGTGGACGCCCAGCTGCTGGAGTTTTTCAGAGTCCGACAGAATCTCAGAAAGATCCACACGGTGATCTCGGAGAAGGCTCAGAATCCTGCCATAGAATGACCAGTGAAGCGCCCATCAATGGAACATTTCCTACAAATAACTGTCGTGTGAATCCCTTTAGAAAATATGAGTAGGTTTGCATTTGCAGCTTTTTGGAGAAATGTCATTTCTTTTTTTTTTTAGGTCAGTATTTTTGTTTGGTATATTTTTTCTTTGTCTCCTATAACTTCTCAGATTTGAAAAAGTCATCACAACATAATGTGAATGATTGCTTTTTGATGTCTGACCATGACAAAAATAATATACTATTCATATGACGATATGCTGTTTGCACTCAGTGTTTGAAATACCTTGAACATTTTTGTATAAATTGAATCTAAGTACTTGGGTACCAATGGGAAAGTTGCATGTTTTTTTTTGGTGAAAAGAAGAACGTCATAGCTAATTCAAAACACGTCAATGTTTCTGTGTTCTGTGTTAAATCAGCTGAATAAAAGCACCTCAGCATGTTTCTAATGTGTAATTAAAATCTGTGCTCTGTTTTACAGTCCCGACTCTTTTCACTAACATCTCTAAGTGCTTCCATAGATTCTGATTATTGAGAGCTTTCTGGTAAGAGTACGTTATGGGAAAGTGGGCTACCACAAAAAAGACCTCATCTTCTTCTCATTCTCTACTACAGTCATTTCTAAATTAGGAGTCGTTGTGGGCTTTGCAGAGAAATCCTGACAGTAATGAGTCCAGCTTGGAGGGAGCGTGTGCGCGATGATTGGAGTTAGCTAGCCTTCCTCTGAACGAGGCCGGTAGTACACAGCCCTGGAACCTGCACACACTGTGAGACTGGTGACCCGTGGGCCTGTGCAGCTGCTGATTGGTGGGTGCCATCTGATCCGGCATAAAGCACGTCTCGCAGAGATTTTTCTCTTTAAATGCCCCGCTACCCCAACAGCCCTACCCACTAGAAAAGGGCAACTATTCCCAGTCAAGGACGCGCACTAAATATAGCCCTGCTAGTGTACCTATTGTTATTTAGACCACTGAGTTCTCCGTAGAGCGGGCACAGTGAAACAGTAAAAAGCTCATTCATTCAAATCTGAAATCCAAAAATAAAGAGTTTGGATGCTAACGAAAATAGCCATGAGTTAACCAAAGCTTTTCAGCCTGTGCGTGTGTGCTTTATCTTTACCTTAATCTTTAGTGAGTGGTACTATGGGCTTTAACAGCCCAGAACTCTGCTGAATATTTACTACGCAGCACTTTTGTAGTCCTGGGAGCAGAAGCGGGGTGTGAGAAGACCTGTGATTCAACATCTGGTGGAACTAACTTCATAATATAAATCTGAAGTTAATTTCAGTGTAAAATGATCAATCCCTGAAACCCCCACCTTGGTCCACTCTCTCCACTGGTCATTGTTCCTGAAGTCTTGTGTGTTGTTCAGATGCAGCCTGTTGAATTTAAGCCATGCTGCACTGCTCTTTGTGGTGAGGAGATGCTCTCACCTGTAACCAACCCCCTCCAAACAAGTCCCACTAGTTCAATAACTGTAAGAGCAAAAATTGGAAATTTTCCAAATTTTATGCAAGAAATCTTAGAACCTTTTTCAAGGAAATGGCACCTTCTGATGAGCTGTTTTCTAACACTAATGCTTATTACTCAGAACAAAGGGCAGATATCATGGCCTGGACTTTATCTGCAGATGCTGTTCACACCTTTTCAGCTCTCTGCTGGAGAAAAAGTGAAGAAGTGCCTTCTTTTGTGTGCCACAGATAACTTTCATACATGCCCCCTGTTGCTACAGAACCGATATGCTGATGTGTTTGTATGCTGTCTTTCCTCAGAGAGCAAATCTTAAAACAAAAACCCTTCAAACAGGTGAGTTTGAGACATAATCTATCGTGTTCTTTTTAAGGAAAAAAATTCCTCTAGTAAAGCAGTGGACTTAAATATGTTTAAATTAACTAAATATATTTAAATCGCTGCAAGTTCTTTCATTGTGTTCCTTTTCCTTTCTTTTCTTGGGATTATTATTGGGATACTGGGTAGGAGAATAACCACGAGTGTACTTCAGCATATAATGTAGACATTTCCATTTCTAGAACATTACAGTACACTGATGCATGTATGTGTGAAAAATATTTGGAGATCGTAGCTGGTGTCTTTCTTCCTTGGCATTGTGTAAACACACATGTGGATGCTCCAGGGCAGCAAACCCACCAAACCCAGCAAACCCAGTAAACCCAGCAAACCCAGCAAACCCAGCAAACCCAGCAAACCCAGTAAACCCAGCAAACCCAACAAACCCACCAAACCCAGTAAACCCAGTAAACCCAGCAAACCCAGTAAACCCAGCAAACCCAACAAACCCAGTAAACCCAGTAAACCCAGTAAACCCAGCAAACGTTCTGCTCTCAGACGGCTGATCAGCAGCTCCTGGATGCTGCTTGAACCCTGAATCCAGTAAGGGTCTGTGTTTTTCCCATGTTTTGATGGAGCTGTTGTCTTTCTGAGGTTGTATTTATCTCTTTGTTCAGAACTGAACATAGAATTTAGCTGTAAACTTTTATATGGACACATTTTCTTCGTGTCCATTCATTTAATTCTGAACCTTTGGGGTTCTCCATATTGTCTCTGAAGACTTTAGAGCTTCAAATAATTGAATTAAGACACCTGAGCAAAGAACAGAATAGACAGAATAAAGAACAGAGCAAGAAGGAACAGAACACCGTGAACCAGAACTAAGAGATAGGAAACAAACCCAAGAACATGAAACAAGAAGAACCGGAAACTCATGGAAGGACACAGGATCAAATACAGATGCCAAACTAACCAAAACCCCAGAGAAACCTCAGACACCACAGACTTTCTAACTACAGAAACCTGTTCCAGCTCTGGCAGGTGGAGGCACTGGGATCAAACCCCCTCTGATTGGTTGATGGTCACCCTACCACCTGAGTCCCAGCCCCTGCCCAGTGGAGCGTGGTGCAGCTTTTAATCCTAAATATAGCTTCTCCACATAGGTGCTGCTGTCAGTGCTCCACTATTCCGGGGGGGGGGTCTACTGTTATTTCCCATTTATAGATGCCTATTCTCCGTTTTTTTTTCTCTCTCTCTCCGCGTCCGTCGCGCCTCCCTCCATCGCCCTTGAATGTTGGGAGATGTGTCAGGAGCTTTTTAGGGCAACACGATCTCAACAAAAAAAGAGTGAGGAAAGTCTTCTGGCCAGTCGTGGTTGTGTACCTGAGCGGAGTGGTGTGACACAGGCCAGAAGGGACCCGCAGACATGGATGACGTGTATAAAGCAGCGGTGAGTTCAGCAAAGCTCGGCCTGGGACACGGCTATGTCCGGCCTTTAGACAAAAATCCCCTCTGGAGCTGAGATCTTTAAGCATTTAGGGCTGAAGACTGTGTATCAGAATTTTTTTTTATGAATATCTACAGGAAATATTGATATAAGCTTATGGAATCTTTAACATTTTGAGGATTGCAATTGGCTGTATCTGTTTCTATTATTCCATTATTTTATGTTTATATTTTTTACAGGAAAAAAAGTTAATTCAGATACATTTAATTAATTGAATTATTACTTTTGAATGAAAATACTGAATGGCATTAAAATATTGCCAAATCAGCCTTGGTTCTTCTTTCCATTGGTGAAAAGGCAAATTAAGTAATTAATTGAGTTATTGCTGATTAAGTATATAAAAATTTGAACGATATATGGAATAAATTAAATGCTTTTATTCTGACGGCAATGACAACCCGTCTAAAAAAAGATCATTTTATATTTGAACATGATTTTGACTGTTCTTAAGTGTAAGAACAGGTGTCAGAAGTACAAAGTACAGCAAACTACCGTGATTAGATCATATTTCTGTGTCTGACAATAGAACAAAGAACAGCAACGCAGGAACAGCTGACCACATCAGTTCCCCACACCCATAAAACAAGAATAGCAAGTGAACTAAAGTGTCCCGTTACAGTCCAACCATACTGAGAATAGCTGTCATCGGAAGAATTGAAGATCCAGTCATGAAATAAAATGTGAAAAATGTGGTCCTGCATACAGACATAAAACACTTGCTGTCTTTCTTTCCACTTCCAGGTTGAGAACTTGACAGAAGAACAGAAAAATGGTGAGGACACTACACCTAATAATAACAACTGTAACAAAATATAATATTTCATGTTAACTCTTCATTACTTTAAAACAATTCATTTGTTTGATGTCTGTATTAATATATATAGTAGAAGCACAACAGCAGCACAAAAACATTGCATTTCTACACATTTTTTATGCCTTTTTATACCGAACCTGCCTTTCTATTCATTGATTAATCCATAAATTTGACTGATTCGTTTATACGTGATGCAGCACATGTCTCATTAAAACTGTGGAGGAAATCTTGAGCCCGTCAGTCATTCAGGATAAACTTGGCAGCCATTGGCAAATCCATTCTGCACATTTTCCTCCGCAGAACAGAGCTGGACCCCGGTGTCTAAAGTTTGGAGATGAGTAAACGATATTGCCCGTGGGATCATTTCCAAGCACGTGTTAGCACATGTGCACACGACACATGGCTTAATCCAGCTTCAATGTTTCATTTCATCTCAATATCGACAGTATCATGTGGGTTTCTCAAGCGTGAAGAGGTTAGATGAGGCTGTGTGGTTGGGTGTGGGGTTACTCAAAAGGCCATAGCAGAATGCCGGCGGCGTGCTGGACTACTACAGGGTCACCTTTCCAGTCTCTGTGCTTGTGCATCGAGTACATGCATACGGTGTATTAGTAGATTCGCTATTTCTATGCTTTAAAAGCAGTGAGCTGAGGTGGTTCAAATCAACAGAATGTGCAGAAGTCTGTGTAAGAACATATTTATTTGAGTTTTTGTTTGCACAAAATTGCTTTCATTCATTCGCCCGCTAGTTTACCAGTAACCTGTGATTCAGGAAATCAGTAAGAACCAATAATCTCCCCATATTTGGGACTTCTAGAGGATGTGGCAGCAACTGTAGGTCAATATGTGTTTCTCTTCTTGCTTTGACCTTAATTCTTTTTTAGCCCAAACGCAGTAAATTTGCTGTTTTCTAACATAGAACGTAAGTCTGTAGTCTAGACACAACAGTAAAATGGTGAACAGGCGTGATGGTTGTGTTTTGTGGTTGTATTTGAGACCGGGCCTTGATCGTGTGCCACCAGTATGAACAGAGCTCCCGGTGCTACAGAGAATGCTTGGAGACAGGAAATGCACTGACATCTGTCTGTGCAGCTGCTCTCTCAGCAGCAGAGATTGGACAGTGGTGTGGACAGTGGAAAAATAGAAGACTATGAAAAACATGATCTTCACAAAGTAGCCGCCCGTGCGATACTGAAAGGGAGATGGGTGACGACAACTACTGCGGCCACACGAGCAGATAAGCAAAGAGGGGAGTTCAAAAAGCAAATCAGACCGACAGCCCAATGTGGGCTTGAAGCAGAACTTTAGCAAAACGCCAATCAGGTCCAAGTGGTCTGGACTTGCCCACTATTGCTTTCTTCAGCTGGTAATGCCTCACCGGTGTGGGCTTTATTTAGCTGCTCCCGCTGGTATACCGTTTGTGATATTAAACTGCTTCTTATCTGAGGATTGATTTAGATTTCTTTGTTTGTTTTATGCAGTAACATATGCATAACCCCCTCCTTACTTTTTAGTAACTTCAGCTCCATCTTTTCCAGAGTTCAAGGCCGCCTTTGACATCTTCATCCAGGATGCTGAGGATGGCTGCATCAGCACCAAAGAGTTGGGGAAAGTCATGAGGATGCTGGGACAGAATCCGACCCCCGAGGAGTTACAGGAGATGATCGACGAGGTGGATGAAGACGGTAGGTCACACATTCCAGCATGTTTGCTGCCATCGGGAGCACGTTTGTCCCATGGCCGGATTTAAAGGGACATAGAGAGTCATTAAGTGGCTTTAGAGCCACTTCTATGACCCCCAGAACACAGAGGTAATCACATACCTTATCCCGTGATCACATCATGCCCTATGTTGACAGGCAGTGGAACAGTAGACTTTGATGAATTCCTGGTTATGATGGTCCGCTGCATGAAGGAGGAGAGCAAAGGAAAGTCAGAGGAGGAGTTGGCTGAACTCTTCCGGATGTTCGACAAGTGAGTTTTTTCCATCGCCGCTGACATCGCACAGGCCTGCCGTCAGATCTGAGGAAAAGCCGGTAGGCCTAGTAGAGAGTGCTGACACCCGGTTCTGTCTGCTGTCGACAGGAACGGAGACGGATACATAGACCTAGATGAGCTGAAGGCCATGCTGGAGTCCACCGGAGAGGCCATCACTGAAGACGACATAGAGGAGCTGATGAAAGATGGAGATAAAAACAACGACGGCAAAATTGATTATGATGGTATGGTATCCAGCACATGCAGCACAACCCCATATGGTCCAGTAGTTTACACTGAAAAAACACAGAAATACAATCCGTCTCTTCTCATGCATACACATCTAACCACACATACAGTGGTTATTGTGTGTAAGGTCACATAAATTAACAAATATCTTCTCAATCCCTTGTTTTTCTTACATATACCACTCTGTTTCAATCATTCCTCACAGCAGGAGGCTTCATGGTGACTTCTAACTTGCGCTGTGGTTTATCAGAAATCTGTCTTTAGTAATATAAAAGGCTGCAAGATAATAGAATGTAAATATGATGACTGATGATTGAGCACCTCCCATCCCAACTAAATGTACAGGGCACTAACCCTCTGGATAACTTGTTATCAGTACATCATCTCAAATTTCTTGACCAGAACTAAAGTTGAGGCTCTGCTCTGCAATAGGAGATATCCAAGCAAAGGGAAGAAAAGCAGCCACTGAAACAAACCACAGAGGGCCGCAGGTGGCTGAGGGGTGGAGCTCACAAAAGCTGGCGATCTCTTAAGATGAAAGAAATCACACGAGGAAAAAACAATACCAATTCAGCACAAAATACTGCAGCAAGAAGACTTCTTTTGTTTAAGTCTGGCAGTATTGACGAGTCCCAAGCAGCTTTTTACAGTGAAGTGTGAACCAGCCCTCAGCCAGCCTCCAGGTGAAACAAACCCAGAAAAAGAGACAATTAAGACACAAAGGAGAAGAAAACAGTCAGAAGTGGTCCATCTAAACAAAATATATTGAAATATAAAAATTTCTGCAATGCTTCAGTGTCCATATTTATGCTTTTTTAACCAAAACTAGGAATTGTAATCTGTGAAAACATCATCCAACTAACATGTCGACATCCCCAGAGACCCTGACGGCAGGTCATGGAAAAATCTGCTCCATGGGTTTGTGTTTGTTTGTTTGTTTGTTTTGTACACTCTAAAAAATCACAGATTCATGACAAAGACATTTGGATCCCCATGGTATTGTGATAGGATGTACTCACCGACACTGAATAACCACATCTTGGTAGTTATGGGCCAAAAGGGAATCCAAACAACCAAAAAAGGGGAAAACATCAGAAAATATTTCATTGAAGAGATAATAATTTGTGATGTGAAGAAAAACAGCAAAAGTTTGCCCATGTACTACTATGGTTGAACACAGATTGCTAACAGGACCGTGGCCTTTATTATCTCATGTTATGTCACATTTGGTCATTTGAGTCATCTAGCAGTCTGAACACCACTTTATTCTTAATATAATTGTCATATTTTCTTCAGTTATGTGTCAGTCCTCAGCAAGGCCATTCAAAGTTGGCTACGATGCAAAAGAGTTAGATATGAGTCAGGCTAAATAAAGAAGTCTTTACGGAAACGGTAACTGTTAAATACATATCAGGTAGTATGCATATTACGTTCTGCAGAATTGTAGTACCTTAGGGGACTGAACAGTACCTGGTAGCTACATGGGCTGAGTTTCTGGGCTACTTCTTTGTACAGTTTGCATGTTCTATGGTTCTCTAGCTCCATCCCATTGTCAATAAACACATATGTATGAGTCTTTTTTTTTTTATTTATTGTGTGAGCATGTGTGTTTTTCTGTCGGTTTAGTGTTGGCCTAACAACCTGTCCAGGGTGTACGCTGCCACACACATATATATCCACCATTAGTCATAGAAATGCATAAATCGTTTCATAATGGGGGATTATTTTTTTTACAGTACATCAATGAAAGGTAAAAGTATCATGAGAAGATAACCAGTATAAGAGTAGTTGACAAGGTGGAGTGTTTTCATCTTGTGTGTCAGGGTCTGTAAGAAACACCTTTTTTAAAGGTTCAAACTTTCACTGCTTTGTTTTCATTCACAGAGTTCCTGGAGTTCATGAAAGGTGTCGAATAAAGGATTCTACCAGAGGGGCCTCCTGTGCATTTATCATGCATTTGCTTTGATTGAGTCATCACTGATAAGTCCATTCCTGAAGACATACCCCCAACTTTCCCCTGCAAATATTTTGATTCATGGTAGAGGTTATAGAACAAGATGTAATTCAGAACGACTTTTCAATAAACATGTTTCCATAATCCTGTATCATGTCAGTTATGTATCAGTCTTAATTAATTTATCTCTCCCTTTCTCCGTATACATAATTCTGTGCACTATCATATGAATTCATCAGCTAGATTTGTCCATGGGCCAGACCATTTCTTGGGTGACACAAAGAAGCCAAACGCTTTTGGTAAATAGAATCCATTTAAAATATAATCCTAAGTATGCATCATTATTTGTTTCTCCCAAAGAGCCTTAAGATGAATATTGATGCAGAAAACCAATAATTAACTTGGCTATGTATGTGTACATATATATTTATATATATATAAATAATTTACTTAAGGTCCCTGTTGCACCTAATCTGTTTAAATAAAAAGTATGTACAGGATAGGATATCCTATCCTGTACATACTTTTATTTACACAGATTAGGTGCAACAGGGACCTTAAGTAAATTATTTCGTTCCATCTCATGTAATACCTGTTATAACAATTAAGTCTTCTTGAATCCTTAACACGCTGACTATTTGTAATAGCATGATACAGAGTACATAATTATTTCTTTGCAGAAATGGGAACTTATACTAATGGGCACAGTATTTATTTATTTTTTTTATTTTTGTAATTATGAGCCCAGGTCATAGTTTTCCAATGGTATCTTGAGATTTTTAAGATAAAAAACACGCATTTTAGTGATAAGATATATTTGATTACTTAAAGTCCGACAAAACTCAAAACATTGAAAAAAGGCACAAGTGCAAACAGCTATCAAATTAAATTTAACAGTCTTTATAAACCAACATCCACTACTAAATAATTTAGGATGCTGTAGTGTTCATACTTTTTTACAGCACATTTGTATTTTATATAAATAATATTTAAACATGTTCTTGTTATTTTTACCCATGAGTTTATCTCCACAAGAGGAGCGGACGGAGGAGCGGTTGAACCGGAAGTGAACTCAAGCCGAAAACAGGAAGTTCTTTCATTTTAGCTAAAGATCCTAAATTGTTTGCTTTTTTTCATCTTGCAGTCGCTATGCGCATCAAAACCATTAAATGCTGTCATATTTCAGAACTTTGAAATTCATGGTGTACATGAAGAAAGTTCAAAGTTATTATTCAAACAATTATCGCGCACTCGAATGTAACCCTTAAATGTAGCTAAACGTGTTTTTTCCCCGAAAGGAGCTTAGCTATCAGACCATGAGAAGCTAGCCGAACGTTATTTATCCACCGAGCTTTTCTACTCTCAGCGTGCCTAGGAATATCCACAACATTCAAGGTAAACCAAACGTATGTTTCGATTATGGCCTTTATGTTTCGTCCCTGTGCTTGAACTTGTTTTACACGTTTGAAGTACATTGGGGTGAGTGAGGGCAGCCCCGTGAGTAAGCGTGAACTAAATCCTACAATCAGCCGTCCTTTAAAGTATCCCTGTGTTGTGATAAATTCAGTGTAGTTGACTAACGTTTTCAGCTGGTTAATGGCAGAGTAGTGGAGGGATTGGTGGGCCGGTTGCCTGCTGTTTAACGCCAGCATCGGGCATGTTGTGAGTCTGTTCGTTAGCTTCTTTGCTAACTTCCGTCAGGTCCGGGGCTGGTTGACCCACGTCTTGTTTTGATAAACAGCTGGGAGTTTCTTGGAGCTGGTTGCGTACAAGAACCCGTCCACTATTTCTCTAAGTGACAGTCGTTTGGATGAATTAACATGTCAATGTTGTACTCCAAATACTTTCTCGTGGCACGTCGTAAATCTAACGCCTCTCGTTTTTTTAAAGCTGGTTTACATCACGATTGTTTTGACATTAACGGAGTGATCAGAACGCTAGTGGGAATCTGTATGTATGCTGGATGCTGAAGCTTTTCCTTTCACGTTGTTGGTTTTCCCTGACCCACAGGAGACAGCTGAGCACATCTGTTCACAGCTGGAGTTATCATGTTCCCCACCATAGTCTCAGGAAGGTGTGCCCTTTATGGTTTGTGACATTGTTGTTGTCACCTGATGGGAATAAAATGACTCCATGTTTTTGTTTTTGTGCTGCTTAAGGAAGATAAAGAAAGTTTAATGTTCCTCGTTTAGCTTAAGCAAACCAGCATTATCTTCACCTCCGGATTTGTCCAACCTTTTGAGGCATCGTCTTTCCCTGGTAGTTTGACTAAAACATGGACACCTCTGTTTATGTGGAGGCCTTGAGTGGCACAGCTGCTCTCCCATATCTGTGTTTTCATCGCTGTTTATGATGTGTATGCAGATTCCATGACAGAAGGATGTGTAAAAGCTGGATAAAGTGGCAGCAATACGCACAACGTTTACATCTTTGCTTGAGTTGTGTTTAGTTTTTTAGAAGCGATGGAAGCTACTCTTGGCTCTGGTCTGACATGCAGAGATTAAAATGATGTAACCCACCGACTGTTTGTGGGCTGAACTGACAATCTATAAAGGGACTGGCCTCTTTCCGGGTATGACAAATTACCCCAGATGTTCCCAGAAATTGAAGTGGTTTCTGAAGAAGAGCTGTCTCCATCCGCATGAGGAAAAAAAACAAAGCTTCAAATGTGTGTGCCAGGCAGCTGGCATTTCCTGTCAGTTCATCAAATGACTCTTCCTCAAGATCTCAGAGCTTTTCCTGGTTTCTGCTCTTCAGGCCAGTAATGCATTCCGGCCCCATATCCTGAAGTGATTAGTGAACAGCACTGTTCTCTGACTCTCAGATTTGTCCGAGGTGGTCAAAAGCTGTCTTAGTCACAGCTTCAGTGTGGCTGCGGAAAGTTCAGCTCGGGGTCAGTTGAAATTCCAAGGCCCTGGATTTGGTATTGAGCCCTCTGGATTCAAGCTGGGTGAGGACTCTCATTCTGTGTACTGTGCTGCCAACTAGAACAGTTTCTGTGTTACCCTGAAGAAAGCTTGGTTTCATCCGGCCGTTAACTTCCACACGTGGAGGGGTCTAATGGACCGGAGTGATTCGGTGAAAGAGCCGAGTAAATCTGAGATTCATCTGCATAGCTGTGAGAGGAAACATTACAGCTCTGGATGGTCTGACCCAGGGGAAGCATGAGGAGGTCGAATGCTAGTAACCCAACAACTGAGCCATGAGGGACTCCACAGCTCAGCAGGATACACTCACATTTATCCAAAAATGCTCCTGCTTTCATGGTTTGATGTGGCCCAACTGAGAGCTTGACCTGGCAACCCCACCCAATTCTCCAGTCTGCCCAGATTGAATTCCTGGTCCATGCTATCAAGGGTAGCAGCACAAGACCAGATAGATGCTCTACCTGCTCCACTGTTCAGATACCATCACATCATTTAAGACCACAGTCGGTGCCGTCTCATCTTTGATGTTTTTCTAAATCCAGACTGAAATCCACCTAAGAGACTGTTTGTATTTAGGAAGCTGTTCAGTTGATTGGATGCAGCTTTCCAGTAAAGGGAAGATCAGAGATGGCTCTGTAACAGCTCGATTCTCAAACATCCAAGGGGTGGGGGTGGCATTTGCACTATTCAGAGATCGGTGATGGGAATCTGAAACACACCCTTACAGCCTTGTGGCGTGTTGGTGGAAGCTGCAAATGCACCAGCAGACGGTGCTTAGTTAGTCAGACGTACCTCTGTGGTCCGTGTGGAGGCTCAGTTCTCCTCCATGTTTCTTGCAGCCGTTCTGGGTTCGGGATACTCTGCCCTGTTGGTTTTCCTGTCTCCCATTGTGGTGTTATTTCCCCCTGTCTCTCACAGAGTACCGGCTGGAGCAGAGGAAGTCGGTGGGATTCTCGCGCCCCTCGTCCCCGCTGAGCCCCGCGATGACATCACAACAAGCCCAGCTCCCCAACGGCGGCATCCCCCCCCCCGCTGGCCCGGAGCTCCTCTGCCCAGCACGCTCCGCCTGCCTTCCACGCCCATCAGGTGGACTCGGGCCACAGCGGGGCCACCTCCGGAGCCCTGGGCTACCGGGCCGTGGTCCGGCGGCCGGCCTGCCCCAGCGTGGCCCGCCCCAGCGGGGAGGCGTCCAGCCGGAAAGCCCCCGCCTCCTCCAGCTCGTCCCGGCGGGACCGGGGCCTGGAGCCCTGGCCGGAGGAGGCGGAGGACCACGCCCACGGCCTGTACTCGCTCCACCGCATGTTCGACATCGTGGGCGCTCAGCTCACGCACCGGGACGTGCGCGTGCTCTCCTTCCTGTTTGTGGACGTGATCGACGAGTACGAGCGGGGGGGCATCCGCAGCGGGAGGGACTTCCTGCTGGCCCTGGAGCGCCAGGGCCGCTGCGACGAGACCAACTTCCGACACGTCCTCCAGCTCCTGAGGATTATCACCCGCCATGACCTGTTGCCTTACGTCACCCTCAGGAGACGGCACGCCGGTGAGCACAGGCCCGAGAGGCTCCGGGAGACAGCCAGGGGTTTCGGACCCTAAGAGCTGTAGTCCCGTGCCATGTCACACACAGGTCAAACGTAGGTCAGCCTCTTTAATGCACGTGTAGTCTTTAGCACAGAGGCTACTTTCATCAAAACAAACTACAACAAATGGGTCAAATACTGGGTGGGAAAAGTATCAATACTCTAAAAAGTATAGATACTAAAACGCTGTACCCGGAGACAATACTCATTTTCAAAAGTATCGATACCAAGCCCCCCCACGCGCCCCTTCTCTCAGATTTATTTACTTACGTTGTTTATGATAATTAACGTGACGTTAGCCTTGAATTGCTAGCTGCGGCTAATGTCTAATAATAACGATTACATCAGTAATAGGTCAGTTTGAAATTAAAGACACTAAGCTGTCGAAATTCAGTCAAATTGTGGGGTCTTTGTTTTTATCCTTATGGTATCTAAATGGTATTGAGTATCGATTGAGTTCCTGAGTATCAGTATCCAGTTGAAAATGTTAGTATCGTGACAACCCTATCATATAGTGGTTCAGACCTGCTCCTGGGTATGGCCGTTCTTCCTTCCGTGCTCCTTTTATGGTTGACATTGTCAGCACGCGAGCCGATTGGTCCGTGTGACGAGCCGCAGGTGGTTAACCGGGCTTCTGTTTTCAGTCT